CCCCAAAACCCCAAAACCCCAAAACCCCAAAACCCCTAAAAATCTGGTGCAAATTGGAATCATAAAATATATTTAAAATGCTGAAACCATTGCTTTGATTGGCAGTTATTTTAACTTTAAGCATCTGCTATAACCATCCATACCGGCAGATACAGCAAAGGCTTTATAGAGGTATTAATACTCAGTTTAGAATGGATCTAACTTAATAGGAAGCCAAGGATCACACCGGAGAGATTCAGATTCTTTTCAGAACAGATATCAGCCGCATCAGAAATCTAGTAACTCTATAGATGTGAAAACTAAAAAGAAACAAGAGAAAAATAACTTCATAAAGCCATATCCTCTCCCAAGAAAAAGTGAAGATGAATGTTTTAACTTAAGCTACCCAGAAGAAACAGGAGAAGATCTAAAAGAAATTCTTGAATCAGAAAATAAAAACATCGTTGTAACAGTCTGGTACGAAAACTTCCAAAATGAATGGGCTCAAAATATGGTAAACCAAGATGTTCAAGGAACTCTTTGGAGATGTCTTTGTGAAAACCATCCGGATATCATCTACTCCGAAGCAGATATCTCACATTACAACCTAAATGCTTATACTTATATTGACTTAGCTAAGGAACTAGAAATTGAACTAGGTGAACTTAATGATGGTCCGACCATTGTTGTTATGAGCAATCACACAGGAATGACTTTTAGAACAGAAGAAAATCCTTTGAAATTACTTAAAGCAACAGAAAAATATATAAGACAGATAGAAAAAGAGTTGTATGGACTTGAGAATCCATATTGTGACTTAAAGCATCAAATCCTGGCTGACAATCACTATGAATACTATGATCCAATAGAAATGCTTCAAATGTATAGGCCACACAAAGAAGAAACCGCAAAGAAGGTTGGAAAGAAGCAGTCTAAAAGCCCCAACTATCAATTATCTGAGCCAGAGAAAGCGTTTAGTTAAAAATTATTTTCAATCTTTTCTCAATAAATAGGGGTTTTGGGGTTTTGGGGTTTTGGGGTTTTGGGG